TTATTTCATTGTGACATATAGCCCTCTGATGGCAGCCGATTATTTGAACACAGTTTTAAAAAACAACGCGTTCCATCACAACCAATCTTATCCGTTTTTTGTATTTGATCCTTCAATGCTTTTGTTGTAGCAAGGAATCGAATTAGTCTAGATTTTCCACAATTTTTTCCGCAAACTAATGCAAATCTGGTTTCAACCAAGTCCTTACCAACTAGCTATATTGCTATACTTTTAATTTTGATTGAAGTCAAATTCCCTGCATTTAGTTGTCAGCTAAGCATGGAAAAATATGACTTACTGATATTGAAACATTATGCAACGTACAACAAGGACTAATGGTTGTATGTCTACAGTCCTTAATTGTTTGTACCGTTCATCTAAAAGTTGTCTTTCAGATTTTCTGACCTCTGGTGGTGTTTTGAAGTGATCCAACCCAGACACACACATTGTATTGGAGTAAACCCATCAGCCTTGGAAGCTTATGAGTTTCAGCTTTTCCTGAAAAACTAGGGGTCAACTCACAGCACAAACCAAACAAGCTGATTCAGTACTCATAAGTTTGCTGAAAACTCTTCGGCACATTCAGCTGAAGCGTACAGTCGTAAAAACAAAAGACTCGGCTGTATTCATTTTAGTTTTCTGTTAAAACCGAATTTGTATGAAGGTGAGAGTACTTATCGGTAAACTGATTCACCTCCAATCGCGAAAATACAAACAACAGGCGGAGAGAGTGTGACGGCTGGTCAGATTGATCAATAAAATCAGTTCTCTAGGAATTGTAGATTTAAACAAACCATTCCACGCTGCTTCCCCGAAAAAAAGTCGGTATCATGACGCCCACCTGACGTGATTACCGATTCGCATTGCGTCAATCTGTGAGTTGACGTCTTCCACAAAATTACCAAGCTTACTTGCATATAATAGTGAATTCGAATTTATCTACCATATTGTCTCCCCACATGCCTTGAACGTTACGGAAGCCAATAGCATTCACTTTTTGCATTTACATACGTAATTTATGTAATCATTTTTCGCTGATTTTCCAGGTCCACAGTTGGAACTGACTTAACAGTTTACTGAATCACGCTAATGCACGGATAAATGTGCCTGACGTTTCATTCTGCTTTGTGTACCATCCTTGCAAGTTTATTGGGCGAAGTCGTTTGCGTCACCCAGCCTCCGACCACAAAGAATAACCCGTTTGCAAGCCTGACCGACAGGAATTGTTGTCAGATTATATCATGGTAGAAATGCGCAACTAAACTCGCAATATAGTGACATGATCACCGTCGTTAGATTGTTGACCATTGATCGATGAAGAGACTGGGTACCTGATGCACAAAAATGAAAACAACCACCGGAATTCTGGATAATCCCCTACCAAAATAAAGAAAGGCGTAATCATCATCAACTTCGTTGGCCAACAGCCAGAAAGGCAAAGTCCATAAAGTGAATCCATGGTGACATTGGAAGAATGAAGACAAAAAGTAGACAAACGAATGGTTTACGTAAGGTGTGATTAATCCCACAGGATTTCCGAATGTCAGGCTTTATTCCCAGTGCTTAGTTTTACTAGTCTAATTGTGAATAAACGGGAGATTCAATTGATAAACAAATACATTAGTCATCACGTCGCTGAAAACTTTTCAGCAGCCCACGATTGGTTTTTTTCCTTCTTGATGCTCATCAGTTAGACTCAATCATCGATTTTCCGCCAACTTCATGTGCGATTTTAACCCAAATTGCACAAAATTAGCGAAATTCACTTGGTTGCAAACCAGTTTGGTTTTGACGGGAGGCTCACCTGAAATCTAGCTGCATCTTTCGTTTACAACGTCTGTAAACAATCTGTATTCAAGTGGAACATAAAGTTGGCAAAAACTTGGGGACTGCGTTTATCTGATGGGCCTCAAAAAGGTGAAACCGGTCTGTCGAAGGGTTTTCAACAACCTTACGTCTGTATATGTCCGGCGATATACAGAATATTGTATCACCTGAAACATGAGGCTGTCTGATGTATTATGTTCAGTTGCTCAAAAACATCATAGAAGAGGGATTTAGATATGTTACAAGTAAGACTTTTGTCGAGACCAGATTGGTATGCAAATGAGTATATTTCGCTGGAATCCAGTTGACTTTATGCTGCATGTATGCTGGTGCAAAGCATACTACATGAGGCAAGTAACAAGCCATTTATAGAGATTATGAAATTTGAAAATTTACTGAGGATTTTGTCCGGCAGATTTATAAAATTCTTTAGAGTGAAGTACACTCGTAATAAAATCAGGGCGATGATCTTCATAGCTATCACGGTCAAGTTTGAAATCGACACTGTGGTCAACCATAGTGTCCTCGGCCAAGAACCATGTAGCCTCTATTGAACAACCATCCATGCGGGGGACGTTCCACTGTCGGGTAGGTTGTATGCATATTTTCAACCGTTAGGATGGTTGTTTGCTTAGTTCGAAGCATCTCCTGGTCAAAACTATGTCCGTATTGATACTGACGCAGCGGCGGATACTACTGATGAGGTACGCGAGTAGTATGTGGTTTCTCGTAACCCCGCCTTGATCTAATGGGAGATGGGATTTAATACGGAATTTGCGGAATTGCTTTATAGCATTCGCTTAGATTTGCGTGATAAAAAATGATCATCCAGGAAAGTTGAAGGAGACTCGTTGAAGAAGAAGACGGATATTCAAAATCACTGGTAGACTAATCTACCTTGTTGCCCCATGCTGATGCACAATTGCAGCTTTTGACCGTAGTATTAACTCAGTAGCACTTCAATCTGACTTAAGTACAGAAAAACCTAGAGTGCATGACTTTTGTCAACGTGCACCTGAGGCCTAACGTAAGGCACCAAGCTAAATATTTTTTCCTACTGCATGACAATTAATTTATCGATTTGTCTGATCCGGTTGAAAAAAACGTTGGAGTGACTATGGGATAAGATTAACCATGGCTACTAATAGGTTGCAAGGTGTCTCACGAAAAGTTCTCAAAAAGTACATAATCAATGTTGCATAAATCGTAATCAAGGAGGTTTGATAAATAGGTAAATTATACGACAAACCTTATCAGCTCCTGCAGAGACTCAGTTCCAGCTGGCGAACTCAGTCCTCTTTTTCTAATATAGCTATTTCGACATCTGAACATTCTAACTTCTCAGAATAAAGTCGTCTGTAAAGTGGCCGAATTGGGTTGATATAACTGGATTAGCATTATTTGGTCTGGGATGCTTCAGGTATTCCTGGAAGAGTAGGTTCTGTTATCTAGTTTGTGTGCAAGTTCCGCCTTTCTTTTCTATCTTTATTTCTTTATCTCGATCCCACAACAATTCCAGAATCCTAACACCCGGACTTTGAGACTATAAAACGTCATATTACTGTAAGTCTTGTGACTGACAAATATGTAAGTTGGCTAGCTACCATACTGTGACCGTCTTAACAATTACTGAAACCTGGGAATCATAAGCATAAGCATCTCGGTCTTAAGTTAAATCTAGTGTATTTTTCATGTCTGATGCTTAGAAGTGGTGCGTCAATCACATACATACTTCAGAACAACTCATGGTACGACATGGCTTCAGAGCAATTTTGGAGCACAATCACTCTGTTAAGATGCTTTGGGACAATGCATTTTGTGGTCGGATCTTTATAGAAGCGGCGAATTCAGCAGTTCCGTTAAATGAAGTCGTTGAAAGCATACAAATTCGTACCAATGAATGTTTAGTCTGAGTTGGGGAATATAAGGACTAATTCTTCAAATCTTTGGCGACCTCCACTTTGACAAACTATTAGTGTCACTCAACTACAGTGTCTGCGGATGACCGTAGTTCCCAGTAGGAATTGTTTCTAGTAATCAGTTGGGTGACGCTGAATTACGAGGTAAACCCCAAAAGTCGAATTGCTCAGATGAAGGTGGGTCAATCAACGCGGTACTATGAATACACGTATAAAATAATAAAATCGTTCAAGCATCAAATCGTGGGGTTACGCCTGCTTCTATACACAGGTTTACGAGCTTCTTATTCAAAATAAGATACTTTACAAATAGGTAGGTAGGTAATACAACGCCTACACAAAGTTTACATCGACTCAAGACAAAGTAGCCACCAGATGGCGAAACCCGGTTGGCTGGTTCTAAACCAGACTTGTGGTGACAAGGTAAAAAAGCCGGTTTACATTCCGATCGAAACAAAAAGTGGCATAGGCGTAAGAGAGTAACAACAAACGGAGAACCACATTGTATATAATGAGAGTAGAGGAGAAGAATCAGGTTCACTCCTAAATGCTGGCATGGTTTTTCCTGATCTACCAACTCAACCCACCACTCTACAAGGATGCTAAAATTGCTCTGGTGACAAACGCATCCTCAGCTGGGATCATGAACCCAGGATAGGTGGGCAACTACCCTCTACTGCTTCCAGCAGGAAGATACGACTATATTACGCCTAACATTACCGGATGCAGTTTGCACTAGCTCTTTCCAAAAATGGCCATCACTTCTGGGCTTGACCTCCACATGATACCTGAAACCGCTGTCGTGGCCTCCATGACTGTGGCAACCACGACCCCTGTCACTAAAGCCTCTGCCCTCTTGAGGAAGAAGGCACCGAACTCACTTCCGTCCTGAACCACAGTATGCTCTACCCTGGATTTCAGATTGTTTATTTCCGGATGGAGCGGAGCAACTTCATTATCGCGGCTTTCCATTCGGCGTCTCCTAATTACTGGTCTCTCCTTTCCCCTCAGATTCTGAACCAGTGCTCTCAGTTTTTTCACCATCGTCGCCATCCACACCCTCATCAACTTCATCCTTGCTGCCTTCACTGAGGGGGTTCTCCTCTCCCCGTGGCGTCCTTATTTTTTCCTAATGGAGGTTTATGTGGAATTAGGAGGTCATCCTCTGACTCGTCAAAGTCATTTTCACCTCTTCTGATCTATTGCCAAATTGGGAGTAACCTCAGGATTTCCGGATAGTTTTGTTTACTCAAGGTTTCATTCTCGGCACTGATGCTTTTTCCGTGCGAATTTCTACAAAGAATGGAATCCCAAAAGGTCGCCAGCCCTTCCGTGCCACACACTTCTAGAGAGCCGACTGGTCAGGAACAGCAAATGACAACTCTACAACTGCAGACCTATCCAAGACACCATCATTTCTCCGGTTCAAATTGCTCTCCAAAGCCTCCGGATGAGCTTCGAGCAAGTCGGATTCCGAATCACCGAATGGTATATACCTGATCAGATAAACTTTGTCCTGGATATCAAAGGGAATACAATTTCCTGCAATCTGTCCTACTTCGGCCGTACGCAGTGTTCTTTATCAGGAAATTCGGGAAATGTCTCGCGTGTGTGCGATGGGTCTTAGTCGCCCCAGAGAAATAGAGGCCACACATTGTCATCGGTAGCATACCCCCAAAATACTGAGTAACCAAACTTGAAACAAGCGAACAGATTTGGAGGCAGTCTTCGCTTCACCAGAATTCGAGTAGGACACATTTATTGTATGGTCAGTGAATTTCATGTTTTGTGACGCAGTGAATGAGGTTGCTGGAACCGACCTTGAGTAGAATCCCAAGAACCCAGTGTTAAAGCGCCGAATATGGCGTCCTTTGTCGAAAAGTTTGTATGTTTACACTTGTGTGAAAACCAATTTGGTTTTGCTGGAGATTCACCCGGCATTCAGCCCAATCTCCCGCTGATGGTGTTTTAAACAGCGATCTTATAAGTAGTGTATTGCGTCAATAGAATTTCCATTGTTACGAGTTACAATTACAATTACAATTACAAATTATAACCAGTGCTTCGTTCGTCTCTGGAGCAAAGTGAACGATTTCACCAGGTGACTCACCCACGAATGGAAATGGATGGTTTTACCATCTATAGACAACTTTCTCAACTGATAGCAAATTCTTTGTATCATTGTTAGCAGATACCTTCATCACCATCACGTGAACGTTCAGCTGCTCCAGCTGTTCCATTGGAAAGGCACGTTCGCCCAATACCATCTTAACTTATGAAAACTTTTCAGTCGGGTTTGCAATCAACAGATTTTTGTGAGGCCGTGTATGATCAGGAGCGGTTATTTTCTCGATATCTACTCCGTGAACTCTGTACTCTTTGGAGATTGTTGGCTGGATGACCACGGATGAATATTGCTGCTTTGTTGCTTTCGGTATCTTGATATTGTGGGCTGGGGATTTATTGGGTTCAACAACTCCACCACCGCTTCCACCGGAATCAAATTTAAATACAGAATCCCCAAAACTGGGTTGCATTCTGAGGCAATTGATTGGTTCCGATTTGGGTCCTCCAACAATGACTGGAGGCCGTTAGATACGCGTAGGGATGTGTCTGAGACCCCAGATGTTGCTCGATAACCCACTGGGCAATAGAACATTGGCTATTATCAAACTCGAGACACCATTCCCGGGAATTCACGCGAGACGAACATTAGCAAGGTGAGTCCATTCCCTTAGCAGCAAATCATCCGGGATCGAAGCCTTGGTGACTATAGGTGACGCGGTTGACGTCGGAAACATACCCATCAAGCAAAGACTGTATAGCAAAACTGACAGCCATGGTACTCTTGATCGTGGACAAATTTACCGCTGGAAATTCTAAACCTGTTGCTTCACCTTCTACCCCAAGCTGCTTAGCTATGCCGGCCAGAACTGTTGTCCAATAGAGCATGAGTTAACACACTGCCCTTTTTCTCGACGAACCCAAGGTAGCTTCAGTGTCCCCCAACTACCGTTGAGTTGGGGGACGTCAGCATCTTTCTTATCCTTCGCCGTCATTCTCTGTGTGTCGTTATGCAGATGGTGTTGTCGTTGGTTACAATCAGAGACGTCGCAACGTGTATGGACGAGACATTCAAAGGCTTTATGGTTAAGTTCCAAGCAGCTAAAGCATAACTTGAAGTATTTTAGCCCCTCAAGCTGCTTAAGATAAAGAAGATAAGCCAATACTTCATGGTTTGAAAGATTATGTGTGATGTGCACAATGAGAATAAGCAGTGCGCTTCTTCATTTCCACGAAGTTGATGTGAGTTTCTGTAGTAGTTTGGCGACACAGCTTATTTTATCTAATTGGCTAGTATGTCTCTTATGATTAGCAATAACTCCGTAAGGCTCTAAGGCAGGAAAGGCACATCTTTCAAAGAATAAAACGAGGTGTTCAAATTCAGGCTCTGAACCCGGATGCAGTCCACCACTTCAACCCCCCTGCGATGAAGATGACAAAGTAAACAAAGGTTCTACTACGGCTTGAGATTCGTTGGGTCTGAGTGCACTTTCTCAATTAACCATCTTCTTGATCAGTCTTCGAAAGGTATCAACGTCTTCAGCATCCCCAACAAATAATTCATACACGAATGACTGTAATGTGGCATGTGGTCTGCCGGAGGATACCCGTGGTCTTTAATAGTCTGCCTTACCAGGAAGGAACACGTAGAGCTTTATGGCTCTTTTCTCTCCCCAGCATCAGTAATGGAGAAGGTACATCAACTTGTTAACTCCGAACAGTTGATTAGCTACACTCAGTGGAAAAACTTTCACAACTTTCCAAAATCCCATTGGGTTTCCGTCAAAATTATATATCACCATTCTCAGCCGTGGTGTAGTGCACCACGGTTCTAACCACGATAGAGCCTTCTTTCCTAGGTAGATTTTTAGAAGGCCGTAAGCACTCTGATCCTTCCCGGTTGACTTTTATACCAAAACCCTTGACATTCTGTCGTCTAGATGGGAATCAACGTTCACAGTCGCTTGCAACCGACATTTCGTCGTCATAATCTTGCCTCATAATTTTGTCTCATAATCCGACAACATCTGCTTTCAAGACGCTAGCCTCCATTTTCTTGTACCCAACTTTTTATCTCTCTCACAAATGCTTCTTCTAGCATCTCATTTTCTGACACGATCCTGACAGAATATCTACCCGTATGCCTGCCAGACCTTATAATATTAGCCACACATGACCATGGGGTAGAGTTGAGATAAAAAAGAATAATCCAGCCGACGGAAGATGCTCATATGCCCGAAAAGTCCGCCAACTTATGATCATACTACCTTTGTCTGATGAAACGGTACACCTGAGGTGCATGCTTCATGGTTGGAAAACTTGCATGAGCCGTATTAAACTTAGCTTTGGACTCAGGTGGCCTTGGAACGCCTCTCCATTCAGGACCACATGATAGCGGTTGGAAAAGTCCTTCTTAAAGCTTACGATGCACAGCCTACTAAAGAAACATCTCGACGAGAAACCTATCCTTCTTTATACAGAAAATCAAAGTAGACATATAGGCGAGTTTTGGTTTGCTTCAAAGTATTCCGCGGAAATCTTGTGTGGTCTAGAACAGTGCAAGCCTCATAAAAATAAACCATTAACAAGTCCATGATGCGGAAGTGGAAACCGAACAATGTAATGTCATATAACTCACACGCAACTGAATGAAACACTTGTCAATAGCTTTATACATTTTCTATCTGTCTCGTCCTAGAATTTTCGTCATTACTAGCAGACTTCAGATTCAAGTGCCGCCAAATTTACTCAGCACTGCAGTTTGTCACAGAGACATTTGGTTGTAATTTTATTTGATACACTCGGCAACTATGTCACTTTTTATTCCAAATAAAGTAGTAAATATATTTCCAGAGTTCTTATCAGTTACTACTTACCTCATTTGTACAAAAACCTCAACAAAATTACGATTTATTGCTTGTGCCTACCCCTTCGAGATGAGTACATAGTTGGTCATTCCAGAGGGGAGATCACACACGTGGAGATCGATGTGTTTTGAATATTTATATTTTTTTTCCTACACGTCAGACAAACATTATATGACGTTCCAGAATTGCTGACCTCTGATGTGCTGGGAGCTCGCGGGCTCCTGCCTCTGGCCATATAAGAATACAACAATCATTGTAAGCACTTAAGATATTTCAAATTGTGGCACCATTAAGACTTCCGACATCAGGTAGCCAAGAAGCCTCTTTTGTTTATGTCAGATGAAGGATAAAAAACCACCTAAAACACATTAAAACTGCCGAATTTAGCGAGTAACACCGAACAGTACAGAGTCGATAGTTGCATAAAATTCAAACTACAAAACTGAAGAATACTGAACAGCTGACACCTTGGTTGATTTTGTTGAATGGAACACCTAAAAATATCAGCTTGTATTCATGTTATCAAGCTGCTTTTTGGAACTGAACTGTAGGCCTAATGTTACCTACCGATAAAGGTTTTCTTTCTGAAATCACATGCAAAATTTCGGTTCTCTCTACGGCACCTTTTCTACGAATCACCTAAAACAGTCAATAATCTAGACGTGACTATTCACTTGGCTAGAGAAAAATCTGGAAGAAATATGAGAGTTCCATATTCATTGATGATTCAGTGCACGGCAATGTCTGGTATGTCCGATTCATTGATGGATTCGGCCTACAACCTACAACATCTGCAGAAGATTATATATCAACTGAAATTCATCTCACCAACTCAATAACCGTAGAAGATAGGGAAAAATGGTGCTGTAGGGGGACGTCTACTACAAGACTGCAAATTCAGGTGCGGTACATTTTGAAACTAATTCATGTCTTATGGCTTGAACACAAGCGACCCCAGCTTAAGGGACTTTCGATGAACGTACCAACACAGGTAAACTTATGTTGTAGAAGTACCCCCGGGATGCTCTTTATGCCTGCGATCTAATGTGGATTCATTCTAAATCACAGACCTCCTAGTAGGTTCTGTATCATTAATCTAGCTAAACGCCCGACGCGGAAAGACGTCCATTGATGTGGCTTGCATTTGTTTTGAAACCCGATGGAGCAGAACTTGCTAGTCAGGTGCAAACTGGTCTGTGGATAGCAGGATGAAAAACGAGCTCGGAAAATTTGTCAAACCTTCAAACCGTCCCGTCTAAACAAATTTGAAAAGTTAGCGTTCCTGAATAACCTTACAATTCATATTTCTATGTCTTTCACTGTTGGACAATTTTTCTTACCATCTCTTTGAAATTCGTATGCGCTTCCTGGAGGACAGCTTAGAAATTCTCTCTATGGAAATTGGTATGATGCGCTGTCCGTAACTCCAGTGGATCGACAGTTCGCTACACGTCCCCGACCGCACGTCCGTAACTGCCTTCACCCATTCAGCAATCGTACTGAATCAAAGCGCAAACCTACCGCCTGTGGAACACCCCTGTCCGTACTTGGTTGCCCTGTGCCACCCGAATACGACCTCTCTTTGACGGCTGACGTTATCGAACTATACTGTGCCGTCTTTGTTGTTAATGGGTTCTAACTGTGGTTATGGCAGCGACACCCACATGCGTAGCGATGGTATTTCTTAAATTATCAGCTATCTAATCAATTAATGTGGGGTGATTTCTAGGCTTCTCACAGGTGTGTTATGCCCTCACATAACCATCCCGTCAACCTTCCTTATTGAAATGTGAAGTCACTCCAGCTTTGAAACGTCAGACTTGTTGTAGTTAGCCAGCCTGTTTTATAGATTCGTGTGAGTATGTGCGAAGCACGTTTTAGCCTGCGTGCTTAACATGTTTTCCGCATGGCTATCTGCTGGTGTTCAAGTCTTCCAATGAGATGCACATAACAGAATATGGTTTCTAGGCTCCCTCTGTACACTCGTTACCAATCGAATTTCGGAAAATTTGTAGGCGTATACATTCAAGACTGGGAACTTCCGCGGTTAACTTCATACGCATTTTTATCGAACAGTTACTGGCAAAATACCATGATTTGGAGTTAAAAGAGGTTTCATGTCGATGAAGCTTACAAGACATACATACACAAAGGACAGGGCCAACTTACAACTACTCACATCACAAGAGAGATTCTTATTTGGTGGAGGTGTGGCCTATCACAACCTTCCAAGGATCAAATGCATTCATCTGGAGTTGAGACACGTGAATACTAATAAGCGAGCCGTTGGGTGTGGTCAGAAGCTATAGTGTTGACCGGATGTGTTGTTAGGCAAACTGACTTTCCACGATCCAGCAGATGACTTGAACAACCGGATGTTGATAAGCTGGAACAAGCATCAGGCCACTAACTTCCAAACAACATTCTTCGACACGATAGTGTCCGTCAATTTACTGGTATGCACACTCACGGTCGAACAGGAGTTTCAAACCGAGCGACATAAACGAAACTTGTGCAGGCAGCGTTTGACCAGATGAAGACCACTTGTCAACCTGAGAAATAGTGATAAGTTTGACCGGGTCATTCTGAGAGGAGTGGCGGTGGTAAACATAGATGAATGTCTTGGCAAGGGCTCCCGTATGCACAATACTTAACTCACCTGAGCTGGTGGTCTGCCGTCCAAGCGGATAATAAACGAAACCAGCAAACCCGACGAGGCCTTCGATGCAGAAGACAAATAAGGTGAGTAAAAGTCGCCTGATGGGCCGATAATGTCACTGAAAGTAAATAAGCCTCCGGCAAACACGAACGGAGCGGTATAAGACAATCGGACACGAATACAAGAATCTCATTTGCCCAGGGTCAGAAAACCTAATGTTCTAAAGCGTTCCACTAAATTGTCCCGGATGTCCTTCGCTTATTTGCTACAATTGAACAGCTGAATAATCTCCAATCCAGTCGATGAATGGATATGGGGATAATGTAAACTCCTTTGAACACCACTTAAACTTCCCATAAGTGCCACATGCCGTTACACCAAGTTTGAACACACCCACATCATACAGAATGCGTTCGCATTGGTATTAAGGGCGTCTATCCTGAAAATTGAACTCTCGAGCATCCTCTTCCATATGTGACGGTGTCCTCCTGGGGGGTTATAAACTATCATTTGGCTGATGAATTAAAAAACTAGGCAGCCAGAAGGTCAGAATTGAAGCACTTAGTTACCTCAAACCGGACTGGCAAGTTAGTAAAGTTCTTAAATCATTTGCTCACTACCACTTTGCCAGCATGGCTTTTAAGTTTGACAAATACAATGCATCCTTAGAATTCCTGTTGACGCTTCAGGTAACGGCCTATTGTTACCTCGACTCGGAAGACACTTTATCGTAGCACACAGCAGACTGTGCGGCCAATCGGAAATTTATCGTTTAGTTCCTTTCGGGTTCGCTACATTTCAGGTGTCCTTGTTTTTGAAAAAAATATACACTGTTCATTGGAAACAGGCCGGGAAATGAGTAGGAGACCCTCATTGGGTTCATCAGAATAACAATTAGCAATATTACCCACCCTCAATATTGCCTACACAGTGCCCCACTGCAAGGTAGAAAGTGGTTTATATGAAAACAGCGTCAAAGGTGCATGTTTTAAGAAAATTTATCAGTAGTTTATCAAGAACTAGTGCTCTGGCAGCTTGTCCTAAGTTGGCTCTAAATAAACCCAAAAGCCGAAGGGTTTAACACCAAACGGCATCCTACTCTTCGTAATACTCTTCGTAATATAGTATGAAACACATGGCCATATGGAGGGAAGATCTTCAAACCAGCCTTGATCAATCTTTTGATACGAGGCTTTCATTGAGTCTCATGTCAGAGGTAAATCAACCTGTACTGAATGCATTTCCAAACTGCCTACAATATGAGTTCAGGTAGAGCATTAGGTTGGTGAAAGCTCGGAGGCCGCGCCTACCGGATGAGCCCGAGCAAAGGCAACGCTGGTCGTAGGCTGCTGAAAATGTTCCAGCTAACAATATCAAATGTCCAAGGTCAAATTTAACTTACCATACACAACGAGTCTACATTTCCTGCTCAGTGATATCCTATATCCCAAACGAGACGGCTTTGCTAGGCGACCATCTGTTAACTCGGTTCTTGTTGATATAACTATGGCAAAGATAGAGAACGAGGACCTCCGATAAATGGGACCTTTGAATCTTCGCCCTAGGAATGTTGTTGACTAGCAACTAGGCAAAGTTAACTGAGCATTCTGCAGATATTAACTCTGCTATAAGATTCATGTGCGAAACAGAACATAAGAGAAGGTTACCGACCTTGGGTATTCTCTTTATGTGGTGCTGAGAGAGTAGAGACGTGTTTATGGAGCACCAGCTTGGATTGGTTAGCACACTCATTTCACATTTTTCTTATTTTGACGGTGAAAACAAACTTAGTACATTGTCCCTATGCCAGAGCAAGAAAGCTTTGTGTATCACCTTCTCCGATGAATTTGATTTCATCCTTAACAATTTAAGACAATGACTTTCTAGATAGGTTTTTCAAAGAAACATGGAGAGCTGAAAGCTTAATTACGACGGAAAGCACTTCATCGCCACCTGTTATTCAAGGCGAGGTGTTAAGACATAAACTCACCATAATGTTAAGATGCATACTTCTTATAGATATCCCCTTTTAAGATGATTCCATAAAGACCAGCTACAAAGTCCAGGCAACTCGGCGATTAGTTTACTAGCTCCTGTACATCGGGTGGAGAATTAGAACATTATCAAAGCGGACGTGTGAAGACATCAGTTCTTGACCGGCAGAAGGAACGACAGGGATATGCGACACTTCAGTTTTTAGCGCACCTGCTAAAATCAAAATGCTGAGTAGATTGTGGGGCGGAGCTTATCGTCATATACCAGGTTGGCTAAAGAACGCCACAAAGAACGAGAGTCGGTTAATCGTTTGCATTCAAAGCAACAAAAATGAATTACCGACCACTGTTCCCTCAAAAGAATAACACGTCGATTTATCGTCACGCAACTACGTATCCTGTAACCCCCTTCCACATGTTTGTAACACACGATTTCAAGATGAGAGCTTGAGAACCTGGGCGTAGTTCTTCGACTGGGATATTACTGTTTTCCATTTCATCTAGACTGGATCACTGCTTAGTTTATATAAGAGCCGGTTGAAGATGTATTGAGAAGAACTCTTGTCTCTGTTGTCACAATATTTCATACCTTAGCTTGCGCACCACTTAGTTTAGTCCATTTTGTGCTTCCGTGATTTTCCCAAAAGATCGAAAATACGACTACCAGACGAGAGAACAAACCAGTACCAAACGGTCCGTTCGAGACAGCGAAGCTGGGAGTACCACATTAGTCTTCAACTGTTTGAAATCAACGGGTTAATGGCCGTTTCCAAACAAATCCTGCTAATGCCGAGTAAATGGATGCAGGTCTACCATGACACGCCTTGAAAGCGACATTAGCTACTGAAGCAGCATACAATCAGGAGATTAACTAGAAAGCGTGTCTGAACTAAAGTGGTTTGTGAACTTCACAATACACCGCTTTTCATGTCCAGCTATCCTACTCACTCATATTATCTCACTAGTGCTGCAGTGCAAATAAACGGAAGAAAGGCTTGCTCGGCAGCGTCCCGCTTTTGACATAAAACGTAGTCAGGCCTAATGACTAGGTTACGTGTGTGGTAGAGTTTTTCCTGCAGAACAACCACTTATCAAGATAGCTTCCTACTTACAGTCACTTATTTTATTTATTAGTCTGGGTTAGCAAGTTCTAAGGCCAACTTTCTAGGTGGTGACTTACATGAACTTGGACCGGGTCTACGGTCTAGTTCTTCCGATTCATGTAGAGATCCCCCTTGAGCGTCCTTTATGGTGATTATTGCGCTGTGTGGATGGGCTAGTGCTAAAGTGGTTTGGTTCGTTGGAAGGATAACGTGAAGTACGGTTAGTTTGGATTATTTGCCACTTGCCACTTCGTATGATTCCGCACACCTTCACGTTATACTTTGGTTTAACGAAAGACGCCCCTGTATACTCGTCACCTCTACACCCTCTATTCTATTCATGCTGGGATGGTAAGTGACTTCCATCACCGCGGCCTGTGATGTAAACGTATCCCCGTCTTAAAACTTCCACATTTCACAACCCTGTTTCCAGAATGAGTTAGCCTCTGTAATTACAGAGTGCCTAAGGGGTGAAATTTGATGAAGTATTTTCCGACATACCATTATAGCCAACGCAGCCTCAAACAAGTCCCTATGTCCAGTACGTCAATGCATATATGTACAGCATTTCTCAGTAACATTGACATGAGTTCTGGATATACCATGCCTCTAGATGCTTTGTCACGTACAAGGGGAAACGAGTGATAAAATTCTCATATCACAGCCTAAACATGCTGTCTTTTGTCATTCAGTAATCTGAACTAGAGCACTTATATCGTGTGGATGTAACGTTTGTTTTCTGTCTAGAGAGGTGGAAGAATCCTCCATTTATATATGCTGCAGAGGACTAAATTTGAATAACCTTTTCTGGTAAAAATAACAGAGATTGTAAGTTTTGCCACGGTCATCTCCACATACTCTCTGAATTTTGGTCAATCCCAGTCCTCATTCAGTGACAAGGCACTCATCGGCGAATCAAATCTATGATGGACTGAAGTTGGTCCTAAAATCACCGGTATGAAATATTAGTGACAATTCATACCACAATCAAACTAAAGCAAAATATACCGCAAGAGAACCGATAGAACATCACACAGATGCAATCAGAAGCTTTTAGCTTCCTGAATGACCGTCTGCAGTGAAAACACATTTCTGTTGATACTGATTTCAGCACCACTTATAGCATTTAAGATATCAAATTTCGAATGTCATCGGTACTGGACCAGCCGTAGAATCAATGTTTTGGAGGGCGCCCTGATCCATAGGAGATACCCAGCTATCTACTACCTACAATATGATTCGTCTGCATATCATAGGACGACAAACAACGCTGTCTGGTAGGAAGGACCGTAATTAAAATTGAACTGGCTTGGCAGAAACCATGGAGAACGTTAATAATGATAAGCGATCTATCAGGCTCTTTAACGTCATTTAATTACAAGCCAGTTCTACCCACTGAAGCGTCTGCAGTTCGAACCAGAACAAGAGATGTAGGAGGTCCCAGCTAGACCTAACAGTTGACTCACACGTGTAGAATCCTCCAATATCAACACCAGTACTAGCAACACGCTTCCGTGTGGCTATTACCTTGAACGACAGAGAGCCGAACAGCAAAATAATGCAAGATGATGTCATTCTTTGGGAAACAGAATAGCACTGCTCATTTCGGAGGCCGTGAAGAAAAAGGAAAAATGAGTAACGCGGTTGCTTGACATCATCTACCCTGTAGAGATTTCGTCCCGTAAGTGAAGCCAATCTATACTGAACACTTAACCGTTCGGCCACGAGTGCCTGATCAACTGTGTGATTAACTCGCACTTAGGATATAGCGCATGTTGACTGTTTAAGTGCGACTTAATCACACTGCTGATCAGCCACTCGCGGCCGAACGGTTAAGTGTTCAAACTACTAGCCGGGAGGTCGCGGGTTCGAGACTCTTCGGAGTTTCGTGAGATGCGCACTGCTGATGATTCCCAATAAGGATGAAACATTTGTACAGTGCTTATCGGCTTTTCAGCATAGA